TATACAACAGNTGGAAAATTTACATACAGACATACAATTTTTTGTACTGCATGTACGTACATACAGACAGACATACATACAAACATACATACATACATATACATACATACAAACATACAAACATGCATACATACATATATACATACATTTGTTTGCTAATTGTTATTCTAAACAAACATGGAAATAAATATTTTTGTCGAACAAGTTTCTATGGTTTCATGTGTTTTTCATTGGGTTTTGTTCATTTTTCCATTTCCGGTTCTGTTTTATTGTTATCATCATCATCATCATCATCATCATCATCATCATCATCATCATTATTATTATTATTATTATTATTATTATTATTATTATTATTATTATTAGTTTGCTTCTAGTTAGAGCACATTGGATGTTTTTTTTCTTTATAAAATGAAAATATTTGTTCGGTCGTTTGAAGCGTTGGAAATTAAGAAACGAAACATCATCAACATCATCCGTTTGGCCTTCTTCTTCTTCATCTTCACTATCATCACCACCACTATCATCATCATCATCACAAACATCATCATCATAATCATCACAATCATCATCATCATCATCACAAACATCATCAACATCATCATCACAAACATCATCATCATCATCACAAACATTATCATCATCATCACAAACATCATCATCATCACAAACAACATCATCATCATCACCATCATCATCATCACAAACATCATCATCATCATCATCATAACGATCGTCATTAGGATCGGACAGATGGTTACAGTGAGGTACAGTTATACTTTGTAGAGGTGACTGAAGACAGGTTCGGTTACTACTCCATTGTTGCAGAAAACATCCTAGGAACTACAATCAAGAAGATTCCTCTGATACAAAGTTCGTCCTGCTATTCGACATGATGATGATTGCGATGATGATGATGATGATTGTGGTGGTGATGATGAGGATGATGATTGTGGTGGTAATGATGATGATGATTGTGGTGGTAATGATGATGATGATGATGGTGATGATGTTGGTGGCCTTGACGCCAGAAAGAAAGTTTAATTTTGATGATGAATTGGCTATAAAAAAAACTATGACGGGATTAAAACCATCAGCAACAACATGAACAACAACATCAACATATAGCAACATCAACAACAAGAACATCAACAACAACAACATCAACAACAACAACATCAACAACAACAACATCAACAACAACATCAACAACATCAACAACAACAACATCAACAACAACATCAACATCAGCAACATCAACAACAACATCAACAACATCGACAACAACAACAACATCAACAACAACAACAACAAATATTTCGTAAGATCTCATTTTTGCATACGTTAAACAACACTTGAAAAATTTCGTGCGTGTTCGTGATGATGATGATGATGATGGTGATGATGATAATGGTGGTGGTGGTGATGATGATGATAACAACAACAAATCAACATCAACAACAATAACAACATCAACAACAGCAACATCAACATCAACAACAACAGCAGGACTGAACAAAGTTTACACAGAACCGTTGTCAGATGCTTCCGTTAACAACAACAACAACATCAACAACAACAATAATAATAATAATAAAATCAACAATAACAACAATAATAATAATAAACAGAAGATAAAAAGTCTTCCAAAGCATCGAGATATACCTATAATGATAAGACTGACAAACTCGGCCATTACTATTAATAATTTCAATAATAATTATAATTGTTATAATTATAATTATTATTTATTTATTTGTAAATATTTTTTTTATATTTTTTGTTATTTTCATAACAATTGTTTTTATTTATTAAGCGTTTTCCTATGTAAAGTTTCCGCCATATAAATTGAGTTTGTGTGTGTGTGTATGTGTGTGTGTGCGTGTGTACGTGTGTATATATATATGTATAAAAAACGTATTTAAATGTAAAGTTTCCGCCATATAAATTGAGTTTGTGTGTGTGTGTGTGTATGTGTGTGTGTGCGTGTGTACGTGTGTATATATATATGTATAAAAAACGTATTTAAATGTAAAGTTTCCGCCATATAAATTGAGTTTGTGTGTGTGTGTGTATGTGTGTGTGTGCGTGTGTACGTGTGTATATATATATGTATAAAAAACGTATTTAAATGTAAAGTTTCCGCCATATAAATTGAGTTTGTGTGTGTGTGTGTATGTGTGTGTGTGCGTGTGTACGTGTGTATATATATATGTATAAAAAACGTATTTAAATGTAAAGTCTCCGCCATATAAATTGAGTTTGTGTGTGTGTATATAT